CAGAGGGTTGCGCGCACACCCGGCAAATCGCACTCTCGCCTGCATTTCGCGCACTCGACACGCACGATCTCCACAGAGGGTTGCGCGCGCAGCCGGCAAATCGCACTCTCGCCTGCATTTCGCGCACTCGACACGCACGATCTCCGCAGAGGGTTGCACTTTCGGTTGACGCTGTTCGTCCCGCCCTCCGCCTTTAAGAGAGAATTGATAAAGTGGGGAAATGTTTTTTGTTTTTTCATTAGGACATCTCCCGTGCTAGTTTTCCATACTCATACCTGCCTACTCATTGCATGCTGGCGTACCTACTCATTGCATGCTTGCGTACCCATCACTTGCTTACTTACACTGCGTGCTTGCCGAGTGTCAGTGTGTATGTGTAAGTGTCAGTGTCGAAGTGTCGGTGTATGTGGTGCGAATGTGGTGGAAGTGTCAGTGTGTAAGTGTAAGTGTCGAAGTGTCAGTGTTCAAAGGATTTTCCGGAAGAACCCTTCGCAATGCTTTCGGGAAAAAAAACAGATCTGTACTCTTTGTATCCATCCAGGACCGCCACTAGGGTGGCAGCCTGGGCACTGTCCAGCTGCTCAGTGTTGCTGGACGACAGGTCATTTGGCATGTTCATGTTATTGGCAGGACCTGCACGTGGGTGCAAGCCTGAGCAGGAAGCAAGACTACTGCAGGTCCTTGCGCAGCTCCTCGTAAATAATCGTTTGCCCACCCCTCACTTCCTCACTTCTGTTTCGGTGGGAGGAGGTGAATCCACCTCGGGATGTCAAATTGACTGCATTGTCAAAGGCACTAGGTTCCGCGTATGGCCCTCTCCAGGCAGTTCTGGCTTCCTGGTTTGTGAAATGTGCAAAGTTGTGTGCGTCCTGCAATCGCATCCGAAGGTGCTGAACTCTCCAATGTACGGGAGATTTTCAACGACTGCATTCTCGAATTCATTGAGTCAAACTCCTGCAGTTCTATTGACAGCTGGATTTCCTCGCCAGCGAAGTGGTCAGGATCAGATGCAGGACTAGTGATCGTTTTTCACTCACCAGCGAGCTGCCTTGTGACGAAATGTCTCCAACCATCACGAGAGTGCACCGTCCTGCTGTCTACTTGAGCCTTGAAGGAAAGTTAACAGAGAACCAATCAGGGAGCGGCTGTTTGAAGTCGACAATCATGAGGACGGTGGTGACCAGAAACGGTTACATGGGCAACCGCCCTCACATGTCCCACCGCTACGTCATTCGGGGGTAGATGGTGGAGCCACCAAGGGGTAGCAAGCTTGTAACACTCCTCAAAGGCATTATAGGCTGCATATGGGCGCCTCCAAGCAACTCGCTTGCATCTGCAGTGGGTTTGGCAGGAGAGCGCAGTGCATTCGCCAAATCCTGTGTCCTATGTAGCGAAGGTTTCCTGGGAGGACAAGGCTGCATAAGGCCTTACATCCTACAAAAGCCTCCTCTCGGATTTCTCGCAAGTTAGGCGTGTGATGAGTGGTGTCAGATGAGTGGTGCAAGACAGGTGGTGTAAGATGAGTGGTGTGAGATGAGTGGTGTAAAATGAGTGTAAGAAAGGTGGTGGAGGCGGAGCGGCGGGTGCAGAGCGAAAAACAAGAACCCCACATGGTGATGTGGGAAAAAACAACAAAAATTGAGTGACGGGTGGCCTTGTTTTGGGTTTGGGTTGTTTTGCGGTTGGAATGGTGGGCCTCACTCTCATTGATTTTCTGTTTTCATGCATTTGCCTCTATTTGCTGTTTCAATCAGGCCGATTGCGGGAGAAGGGCAATGGCAGCATGCAGTGCAAGACACATTTGAATGAAAATACTATGGGCCCTCATGTTGCGTTACCGCAAAACTACTTGCTCCGTGCAAGGTTGACGGATGAAAACAACATTCTTTGTGGTTGTCAATTTTCAGCCATCGTTTGTATTTTTGCCCAGTGGGTCGTGTCGAACGGTTCCGGGCACATTTTCGGGTTCGTTCATGTCATTTGACTCGACTTCGATCCTTCGCCGCTTCATTGTTTGAGCCCCATACGAACTGGATGTTCACATCATCAAGAGATCCGAATGAGGTCGCCACATTTTGCACAAATGCCATTTGCTATGAAAACCCCTTGACGTGCGACAGCGCATGGATTCTATTTTCAATATTCACAGTTTTTTGGTTCTCAAAAAAACGAGTAGCCATGTTTCAACACAACCATCGAACCTGAATCGAACCTGTTCCGTAACCTTGCACGGACGCTTCCAACAGCGCTGAAGTCCGACAGGCATGCTGCTGGCATGAAGTGTTGGATGTGCATTCTTGCGAGCAACATTCTCTGTGGATTGTCACATGATTTCCTGGAACCGTCGCCTGGATGCCTGCGCTTTTTGAATCAATTGGCTTCAGATCATGAGACAGAGAGGCAGACAGTTTGATTGCTTTGAAACAGTTCATTGAGTTCTGCAGCAAAGTTTGGCAACTTTGCTTAATTATGTTCCATTCATGTATGCTTTTGTTTCAAAACTTTCCGATTGAAAGTGATCTTCTTGCAAATGGATTGAATATATAAATATACAATCGTGCTCTTCTGTTTGAGACGAAATGGGACAAACTTTCTATGATTCCTTTTTAGGAACAGCTGGTGAAAACAACACCAAAACTACCTTGTGGAGGCGAAATTTGCAAAATTTTGTGCGGCACAGCTTGGCAGAGTCCATGGATTGTGCATCGGCGGCCATTGCCAAGGCAACGGTTGAGGTGCCTTTCTTGATTACAAAGTAAAACATCCAAACAATGAAGTGAGACCCTCAACATTGATGCATTGCATCGATGCTGCCTGAACTGAGGATGCCCTACTGTTATCACGGTTGGCCGAAGAGGCAGCACAGTTGAGTTGTAGGAAACTATCACAAGTGTTTGCCAAGAGGTGATGGTAGCAGACACTTGATCGCCATTGCAGCTTCATCAGTGCGACTGATTGCCAGAAGTCATCAACCGCTCAGGTAGCGCAACACCCCAGGTGCATGCAAGAGCTGGACACGAAGTCAGAGGCATTTTGAACAGTTCACTTCAACTGATAGTAATGGTTGGGCCAAGAAACCCAATGTGTTGCAGCGTTGCAAGGCCGAGACGCGTTGTGCACAGAAGTGGTACAAGATCGGAATTCATGTTCTTGTTGTGTCTTGGTCAAAGCATATTTTGGTTGTTTTGGGGTTGTTGCTGGCTATAGACGGATATTTTCAATTCCTTTTCAGCATACCTGATAATAAACGACTTCATGGTCAGCTCTGGTTGGCACTGCTGCACCAAGGTGCATGGTTTACAAGAAGCCGCAGAACAGATGTGGCACCGTGCCAAAGCCATTCGCACGGTGACGGGCGCCACCATTGGATGGACGAGCCTCTTAGAGACGCCGACTGTCTGGGTTTGGGGCTTGGCATTCGGCTTGGTGTCTTTTTGGTCCGGCTCGGTGGCAGCTGAGGTCTCCAGTTTGGAAAGCATGCCTTTTTGGGATTGTTCCACCTGGCCATTCCTTGCCAGCCTAGAGGCCAGAGCGGTGTGGATCAGCAAGCTTTCCTCAGCAACGACTCTTCGGGCTGTCACTCTCCGGCTTTCTTATGACAAATGGCCTCTTCAAGCTGGAGTCTTTTTGTATCCAAAACGTGCTTCTGCTACTATGCTATGCTACTAGGAGCTCTAATTTTTGTGTTTTATAGTAGCTGCTTCCTTTTGCTTCGTTGGCGACAAGGCAGCAAGCTCTGTCATTCTGGATGAAGTCCAGAAAGCAGCACAGTTCACGGCGGCTTATCCATATCTCAAGCTACTTGGCAGACCTCACGCAAACAAGTTTTTTTCTTTTGCTGCTTCTCCTTGCTCTTCTACCCTTAGATAACGTTCCGCCCTCAATTACATTTATTTTCCCTTCTGTAAATGTGAGCATTTGCCTAGTGCTTAGTTACTTACACTCGCGAAAACTAACATTTTAGGCAAAAAAATAACTTTCTTTTTTTGGTACATGTTAGTCTAGATTCGGAAGTGCCTCTTTTGAGACTAACCTAGACCAACATCAGAGAGCCCCCCAGCCCTATGTGGCGTGGTCTATGTTAGCTTCCACATGGCTATGTTGACCCTACCGACGCGGTCTATGTTAGCCTCCTTTTGGTTATATGCCAGATTGCAGTTGGTCTATGTTAGTGTCACATTGGACCATGGACTGAGAGTGGGAATGTTCTATGTTAGTGTATGGCCGGAAATGGCCCCAACGTAGGGCCATTACCGTTTCCCCAGCAAGTCACCGTTTCCAGCGGTCCATGTTAAATAGCACCTGGATTTGGATTTTGGTCTATGTTATTTTTCACCAGAGTAATGGTGTGCATATTGCAAAGTGTGAATCCACTGTGCACAGCATCCCAACACACTCATAAATGGTATGGTGCCATGTTCTTCGACTTCGTCTTCACGCAAAGACAGCATCTATCTACTTTGTCCACATTTGCCAGGATTCCTGGATTTACCATTTAGCAACTCACACATCCGCCACTATTAGCATTCTTGGGTCCATTTCTGTTTTTCTCTAAGTGCGCGATGTTTGGACGTGCTTTCTTTTGGATGGTTTGGTTGGCTTCACCTTGGCCACTGGCCTAGAGTGCGCTACTCTTGCTTTTGGACTGTCGTAGGCGTAGGTGGCTGGAGATTCATCTGCTTTTGTTTGTTGATGGAAGCTTTTGTTCCGCTACCAAGCTCTTTTTGTTGTCCAAGCTTGTGTCCAGTGTCCTGGCTCTTGGGTTTCTTATTCGTTCAAGCAGCCTAGCAAGATAGGCAAAAACACACACACAGTTGGAATTCAAGCTTGTCGAGCGTAGCTGCTTCGCATTACTGGATCAAGTGTTTGTTCTGGATGTCCATTAGCCACTATATTCTTCTGCAGCTGGACTGATCAAACTAACATCGATTTGGCTTGATGACAATATCTCCACTCACTGTTTTCCAGCTGCCCTTGCCAAGAGTCATCCTTCAGTGAAAGGAATATAATATAAGCAACATGTTATATTATGTATAATATGCACATCAGTAATATACATATATTCATGGGAGCAAAGAATCAAGTTGGGTCTCGCGGTGCGACTTCAGTGAAACACAAAGTTTGCCTGAGAGTCATCATTGTCAGATTGAGTTTGCCTTTTTCGCATTCAGTTAAGGACCGGAGGTGTTTGGCAGGACATTTTTCTGTACCGAGGAGTGGATCAGTGTTCCGGATGACGCAGCTGGTTTCTTTTCTTGGGCTTGGCATAGGGCTTGCCCAAAAGAGCAACAATCTTTGAATCTGGGGACTTTCACGTTCTTTCAGGCGATTTGCAAGGTACTGAGCCTGACAACTACAACAAAGCGCAAGCAAAGGTTGCTTGCATGAACGGTGCCAAGTGATTCCTTCAAACCTAATGGCACAACTAATTAATGACTGTATTTCATGTTATTTCGTCCAAGAGAGAAAGGGTTGAGTGTAGTCACGCTTCTCTCCACTTCCCGGACTGACCTGATAGCTCCCTCTACTTCCTTTGTGCCGCGCATCGGCCATGCTGGGAGGCCACGACTGGAACTCCACGCTTTGTGACGCAATGCCCAGAACTTGTCGTTTGCTGTTGCCTGAGCTGCCTACGAAGCCCGGGGTCCCCTATGCCACGGCCACACCGGCCTGTCCAAGTCCAAACATGGGTGCCTGGTGGATTTTTGGTTATACTCTTCTTAAGTATACATGTGGAAGTTTCTTGTGCCTTGTTCGTAGATAAGAAAGCCAGCTGCTAGGAGAGTTGTTCAGGCAAAAGAAGTGAAGAATAGGGGTCTGGGGGCTGGGAGCAGAGCTGGCACGAAGGGGCTTCCGTGCAAAAATGCATCAATTTTTATCATCCTGGGTGCGTTGAGGGAGGCTGAATGATGCTGGTAATGGGTTCACTGAGATACGGCATTTCCAGCATTCGTGAAAGATTATCGATGAGAGGCGTCCTCCCGACTTCCCGTGCCGTCTCCGTTTTCAGAGCCTAAGGCCCCGTTTTCGCACCGACGAAAACGCCAGGTTTACAATGAAGAGGTCGTGATCTTCCGCTCGGAGCCTGGGGCCACTGTTGGTGCTCATTGCGGCTCGTCCAATGCCATCATCAACCTGCACCTGACACTCAAAGGAGGACGTGGAACATCGATTGCTGTGGGTGATGAGCGAATCTTCTTGGAGGATGGCAAGGCGGTTTGCTTCCAAGACAGCTTTTTTCATGCTGTGCAGCATGAAGTGTTTGGAGAGGACAGTTTCTCAGGCTTTCGTTCATGCATTTACTATTTTGGGTCAAAGTGCAATCACTGTCCTTGCAAGCACACTCACCCTGCAGCTTCAGGACGAGCGAATTTCCATGGTTCTGCGGGTCATGCATCCGCAGATGAGTCTGGATGTCCTGGAGAAGATTCAGAGCACAGACATGGCTGCTTGGCAGGCAATGCAGGCAAGACGACAAGGCTTGTACCCAGGATCAACATTCTACATATATAAACACTTCAAGCTTCTTGAACTTGCTGTTGACAAAGCATGACTACAATCCCCAAGCAATTATGTGCGGCACGTACACACACCCACACCCCCACACCCCCACACCCCCACCCCCACACACACACACAAACACACACAGACACACAAGCGCAACGCGCGCGCGCACGCACACACGTGGCTGTGCATGCGAACATCTGCAGGTTCCAGATTTGCGGGCCTTCAGCAGCTCGGAGAGCCTCTTGCAGGAGGTTTATCGACTGCGCCAGGCTGGTGGCGGTTTGGTGAAGCCCAACCAGCAGTTTTCTCGTGTTTGCCAAACAGGTTTGCACAGCGAAGTGCCAACAGGTTTGCACATTGCAGATGGAAGTACGTAAAGCTTGGTCTGCAGTCATGATGTGTGTATACACTAGGAGCTCAAACTCACTGGGCATTTATTTGCCGGACGGAGTCAGCTCAGTTGAGATGCACATTTCTCGGGGCATTTGATGCTGTCAGCATCGCTACCCGTTCAATTGAAACACTTCTCCAGGGAAGCTGCGCTGATCACCACATTCCATTACAAATTGGTGGCCTCCTTGAATAAACAAGGCCTTTCTGTAGGTCCAAACCTGATGCTTGCAAGTGGCCAAAGTTGCAACAGCTGCAGCACCGCAGGAATACAGAAAACTTGCATTGCTTCTTGGCTTCGGAATCAGTGCAGGCAAAAGTGTGCTGGAGTGGTGCGGTCTCACCAGCACTTGCTTTTTCTGTCCAGGAACACTATGGAACACTCCATCTCTTGCGTACTAGCAGTGTTGGGTAGCTTTAGCGATGGAGCTCCTCATTGGACGACCGCTCTTGGGTTCTTCATCTTAGGAAAAGTCGTCTCAATGTGGTTCAAGGCATCAGGTAAAAAGACAGACGAACAACCGTTCGTCAGGGGTAAGCTCCATTTGGATACATTTCCTAGTGCAGAAGACAATTCTCAGCCCACAGAGCTGGTGGCAGCTGGACACCTGAGGATTTCTGGTGATGGCACAACCAAGTGCGCAAGTCCTCTTTGAGATGAGTTACCAAGTCCTCTCGGATTTGTCGCGGTGCACTATCGTTTGTAAGACGAAGGACGTTGGAGGTCCAGCCTCAAGACCTGTTTGAACCGAGGCACCTCCAAGACTTTTAATCTTTTACAATACTCTGGCAGCCAAAATCTGGTTGCAAGAATATGGTATCTTTGTCAAATCTTGAGGCTCCAAAAGGGAGCGGTAGGTAGTAGGGCGAAGTGGAACTCTTTGAAAAGACTTGTGGCATAGGTTTGCAGCTTTGATCGTCATTTCTCAAGCAAATAGTGAACAAGAAAGGGAACATCAGACCTTTGAACCGAGTTGGAGCTTCCTACTTTTTATCGTGGATTTGCAAGGCCGAGTGCTGTGCTGTGTGAAAGGACCAGCTGCTGGGCTCGGTTTGCATCCGCTGGCCAGTCTCGAGCTTTGACGAAACCTAGCTGCGGCTTATCCGGAAATGAGTTGAATCTGTCCAAAGTGCCACTGCAGGATAGATCACATGGCCTCTAGTTTTGATTGGTTTCCGCAATGAAGAAACAATGAGTAGCCCGATGCACGCCAGCGAAGCAGTTGCGAAGCAGTTTCAGTCTTCAGCACGGCGCAAGCGGCGCTATGCGGCGATGGATGATGTGCATGACTTGGGGCTTGCTGGCCGTGTAATAGTTGTTGCTTCCTGCCTGGGATTGAGACCGGGAGTGCCATATCAGATCGGATTTGCTGTCTAAATGGCACTCCAATCTAAAGTTTTATTTTGTTCAATGTTTTGGAGCCAAGCAGTGAGGGCAGGTTCACCTGTCTTTGCTTCTGAACCTTATGTGAACGTGCTATTTTTTCGGTGGATCTGCTCAGGTGGAGAACCTATGTGACCTGCAAAACTTAGAACGACTGCAGAGAACCTGCAGAGCCTTTGGGGCTGAGCTGCGGCTGGTACAGGATGATGGGACTCGGCGGCAGGACCGTGACAGTCCAAACTGTGGAGAGTCCATGATCTTGTTCAGCTTCGGTCCCCATGTGACACACCCGCCTTTCTTACCTCGGCTAGGTAGATCAGCTTCAATGATAATGATGAAGCTCCGCCGAAGTTCCGTTCAGGACTCGAGATGTCGCAAGTCCCTAGACTTGGGAGGCTACGCTCCAAGCATTCGGGTCTTCCACACCACCACCGAGTGTGCCAAGGCGGGAGCAGACATCGCTGGCACCTTCCCGTGAAGGGGCGTGTTTTGTCCAATCAGGAGTTGGGGGCCGAAGGTGCCCGGTCCTTCGCTACAGCCCTGGACAAGGAGAGTGTTCCTTGGGACGACCAGAGCTTTCTTGGAGGGTTCTTTGACAAGAATCTTTGACATTTGCAAGATACAACGCAGTAGTGGGCAGTGCTTCCTTGAGATTTGGTGCATGTCAGCAGCGCAACGTTAAAGCGTTTTGGCTCTAGTCGCATACTTGTTGAATGAAAGCGTTGCTCTCCTCACCTTTTCAGGTGAGCATCTACAATCTTCGATTCGAACGTGATCGCAGACTAGCGCTGTGGTTTGGCCAGGAGAGGGTGAGACCAACCGGAACACACCTTTCAGACATTTTCAGATGATTTCAGATGTATTTCAATATATATATATATATAACCCGGCAATCAGCCAAACAACACCGAAAGACAGATCCGGAACCGGTCCATCATGCATCCACAGTCTAGCAACTGTTACGCCCCGAAATTGAGGCCACTCACCAAAGGTGAAGTGATCGGACACTGGGAACTCTGTATGGGAGAAGGAGTTGGATTCACACTACAAACATATGTATATAGGTTAAAAATCATTTTAAAGCCTTTGTATTGGACGCACCTTTCATCAGCTCCTAATCAATATTTGTCATCAGCTCCTAATCAATATTTGTAAATAAACTGTTTCCTAGGGAGCTGGCTTGAAATTGTATAGATAGAACCCTTTGGTTTGTTATTTTCCTCCTTTCCAGCAGCTTGGATTTGAATGTGCCTCAGATTCAATCTGGAGGTTAAACTTATGGGATTAGACCAAGGTTCATCTTGTTCTGACTGACACATGAGTGCCAATATATAAGTACAATATTTTGAGCTTCTTGAAATCTCCAGCAGGTTCAGCTAATCCCTAAGAGCTTTCGCCATGTTGTACCGCAGACGGATGGTACAAGCTGCACCTGCAGCACAGTTAGCAGTTGGCAGAAGTTCCAGGAGCAAAAGTAGCTAGAGTCGAAGTTGAAGTACAAGTGGCAGTCAGTAGTGGCTGAAGTTGAAGAAGCAGAAGTGGCTAGACAAGAGGAAGTACAAGCAGAGACATAGTCTCCGTAAGCTTGTGTATGCAGGGACAAAGTTCCCATGGAGCCTCACAACCGCATTTGCCTTCACTTCCTGACCAACCCTCCTGCGAGATGGGTTATGGATTGGAAAGATGCCATGGAATGGCCCCGATTTGTGGCATAACACGTCAGTTTTGGGAAACAGTCATAGTTATTAGCACAAATTGGGGACAAAAGGCTGAAGGCTTGGAAACAAAAACTAGACAACGAACGGCCCGGGAGCGTTGAAACAGCATATAAGTTTTGTTGTTGTTCAGTATGTCTCTATTGTGTATCACCATGTGTTGATCCCGCATCTTTTGACTTGTCGCATCGTCCGGAGGTGTGTGCACCAGGCCTCATGGACAATGCCAATCATCCCGCTCTCCAGCGACACGCCTCATGTACGCCACCATGTTTCCCTTCCAGCATGGCACGGACCCACGCAAACGCACTTTCCACCGAGACCGCGCAAAACCGCATGGCACAGCGACATCACAGACGTAATTCAATGGTGTGCCACAGACCAAGCCGCCTTACGCCAGCAGGTTTCCCATTCCCAAATGGCAGACGACGCCACGCAAAGCCGCATGGCGCAGCAACATCACGGACGACTAGGTACAACAATGTAACACCATGCCTCGTGGACACCGCGAATCAGCCCACTCCCCAGTCCCCAGCAACGCACCGCGTTTACGCCATCATGTTTCCCTTCCGCCAATGGCAGGGACTCACACATGGCACAGCGACATCACAGACGTAATTCAGCCAGACGGTGTGCCACAGACTAGATACAACAAGTTGCAGTGGTGTTAGTGGACACCCAATCATCCCGCTGCACAGCAACACGCTGCGCTTACGCCAGCACTCAGGCAAACGCACTTTCCACCGAGGCCGCGCAAAAATGTAAGGCACAGCGACTTCAAAGACGTAATTTCGCCGCACGGTGTGCCACGGACTAGACGCAACAAATACAAAGGCCACAGGCTTCCCATCCTACATGTGTGCATAGTTGCCAGTTCTGAGGGCGCAGCTCCCACAAGTGCTTCCCGTATTACATTTGCGCCACAAAGTTGTCGCTTGCTTCCCGTGCGGCTTCCCCTGTACCACAATTAGACTGCAGAGTTGTCAGTTCTGGGGCCAGCTTGCACTACAATACAAAGTTGCCAGTTCTGAGGCCACGCTCTCAAAGGCTGCTTCCCACACTACATGTGTACTACAAAGTTGCCAGTTCTGAGGCCACAGCTCCCACAAGCTGCTTGCCGCACTACATTTGTACTAGAAATCTGCCAGTTCTGAGCAACATTTCTCATCTCCAGCTGCGTTTTCGACAACAACTACACACTTTGGCAAATTCAACGCGTGTTTTCGACGACAGTTGCACTTGTTGGCAATTTCAACTTGCGTTTTCGACGACAGTTACACACACTGACAACTTCAACCTGCGTTCTTGAAAAGTTACACGCACTGGCAATGCCCAGCTTGATTTACCATGTCCGACAACACAGTTATACACTTTTTGGCGATCTTTACTGATGTAGCCAAAAATTTGCGTTTCACCTCACTCTTGTTTGAGCGTTGGACACGCGTGACCCCTGCAAAGGGGTCATCCGGCGCACCTCACGTTTGAGCATCCGTCGTGTGGGATTCCTGCAGAGGGTCACGTTTCGCAAGCCCTGTCCGGCCAGGCCGCCGGGTAAGAAAGGATAGATGTAGATAGCGGAGATGTGCCACGCGCGCACGCGCGCAAACTCCGATATTCTTTATTGTACTTGAGCGTGTAATATATTTGCTTCATGTTTACTGAAGACTGAAGCAAGACCCCAGCGAAAGTTACGTGAGATGTTTTGCAGGTGTTTGAAGCAAGATCCCAGCGAAAGTGACATGAGATATGACTGAATCAAGACGCCAGCGAGGTATGTTTTCTGGAATAAGTTGCAGATGTACCTCTGTACAGATGTATATATATATAATATATATTGTTTGTTTGTACAGCCCATATATACTCCGCTAGGGTACTGCAGACACGTGAC